TTGGACGATGACTACACAGACATGGGTAGTTTACCAATTTTCGGGCCGGGAGGTGGGGAAGAAGGGGAGGGGGGTCGTTGCTGTCCCCTATTCCATCCTACCCCTACCTTGCAGATGATTGTGATTGTCCCTTTAATAATCATGTCATTTTGCTTAGCACTACAAATAACCCACAGGCCATTCGCATATGATTTTTATTTACAATTTACATGAATATTGATGCTTTGAGAAATAAATAGGTCAGTCAAACCAAGGTCTAATTCGTGTCACTTGTTTTAGAAAATTGAATTTAAACAATTTGTATCATAATTAAGAGTCAAGAACAGCTGCTGTTCATGTGCGAGGTGAATAAAGACCTTTTCAGCTTGCGGGGTAAAATACAGAATCATACTCCCAATCAAACTGACAAATTGCGGGGTATAAAAGCAAATTAGCAGATAATGACTCTATCAATCCATTTAGTCGTTTTTCCCCAAGTCAAAGGCATGAAAGTGAGATGGGCACAGTGAGTGACTAAACGATTGTGGCGCGGTAGAGATTTCTTCTCTCCGAACTATTTTTCTTATTTATGAACTGGGTCGACTATATTTACAAAACCTAAATGCCTCATTACAGACGGACTTAGGCCAATGACTGTTAAATTCTAATTTAAAAAAAAGAACTCCCTTTCGTGTCAAAAGTGAATGATTTCGATAGTCAATACCAGATTGAGTCGAGTATTATTTTCTTCTTGCTATCTCTACTATCAAAGCTACTTAAAAAGTGCGTTGGCAGGTTTAGTGAAAGGGCAAAACACGTAAAGATTTCCTAATCCTGCCAGTCTTCCATTATAATTATCATTGCATACGAATTCCCTACAGAAGCCTTAATTTCATGTCAAACAAAAAGCGTCCAAAAGCAGATGTGGGTTAATAATATTTTCCTCCTTCGGGTTATTCTCACTTATAGAATCGATCCGATAACTCATTATGACAGATACGTCTGCATCTAGAAGATAAAGACGAATCAAGTCATGATTGATTGCATTTAAAAGCTTCCGAGTTGACCTAAAGCCGTGGTGACTTTCGTCGATAGCATGTTTACCACGCTGCGTTAGGTTGGCGGAAATTAGGAGAGCGCCGGGCAATCAATTATATTTTATTTGACTATTTCTTGATGTCACCCTTTAAATATAAGTCAGGTACTAGTCACGAAATTATGCAAGAATTTTTTAGAAGCAATCGGCCATTTTCGTAAACTAACCAAATTTAAAGCACAAATCTTCGTTAAGTACCATGTTACAATTTATTTCATTCACCTGTTATGAATAATTGTATTTCAATAGCCTGAGTCAGAATGCGAATTGCATATATTATGTGTTGCTAGGTAGGACAAGCCATGCTATTTGTCCTACCTAGCCATAATTAATGTATACTATTCGCATTCTGACTATTGACATACAATTGTTCATAACAGGTGCATGAAATAAGTTGTAACATGGCACTTAACAAAGTTCGTAAATGGTCTGTTGGGAAACGTTGATTATGTGGTACATACGAATTGATGTATACTGTGAGTTTTTGAAATGATCACCAAGACGACACATGGAGCCAGTCTTGCTAGGCATCACATGCTCTGCACAAGACACGAGGACATGGGACTGCACAACATAATGTGGCATGAATGTTTGGTCCAAATGTTTCAGCCATCCCGTCATTATTTTGAATGTGGAGGCATTTGAAGAGCAAGCCGGGGTAATAAATATGATTGCAGGGCCCTCAGGGAGAACTGTATTAATACTGATGAGGCTACCCTGAGTAAACAAGACACATTATTATCATTATCCGTTTCAGAGGACACTTCTACTGAGATGTTCTTCCAAACTAGCATACAAACATTTATAAACTTCACATTATGTCTCATCTCTACAAAAACCCAACGTTCTCGTTAAACTCGACCGTCTTGATCCTTTTTGTATCGCTGAATCAGATGTTTTAGAAAAGGCACCCACGGCATGGTAGGATTAAGATTTCTCAGGACACATAATCGATACTTTCCTGCCAGTGTGCGTTGAAAGTAGATGTCCCTGTTTGATTGAGTACATTGTGTTCCAGAAAAATGAACAGTGTATATTAATAATTTAGGCTGATGACGATGATGATTTACAGCATTTACAGGTCGCAATGACTTTGTTAAAAATATACAAATAAATCTACTCTATCGAACAGATTAACAAATATATATATTTTTTTTATAGTAAAAAGATATTAGAAAAATGGGTGGTTTGTAAAAGTGACAAATTTTATTCATAATCTTTTTTTGTATGTGTACATTCCACATTAATTATTTTTGTTTTTTATGTACTTAGATTGGAAAGCCTTTAAATGAAATCTTTCTTTCTTACCTTCCTGATGAAGAAAATCCATTTGTATCAATATTATAAATTCCCAAAACAAACAATGAGCAAAACGATGGGTCTTGAAGATAAAAATGCAAGAGTGACTCGACCAACATTTGAGAGGTAAAATATTTTCAAATCGATATAATGCATCACACGTTTAGACATCAAATTTCATCATTAGTTTAATAAATTCACCCACGATAAGTTGAATCTGCCCGCTAAGATATTTCAAGAACAATTTATTCCCTCTACTATAATTATTTGCCATGTATTCTCGACATATCTATTTAGTATAATACAGTATAATTCAGTACCCCACATTGTAACTTAAGATGCAAAGAAGGCCCCATGCAGCTGCTCATATTAGGAGCTTAAATTCTGTATGAATTCAATAATTTTCACACAAATATTACATACAGCGTTCATAATTTTGTACATACGTTGTTGCAGATATGTCTATGCTAGCCATGTTACCATTCAACCTGATGATGATAATAATATATATATAATTATAATAATTATGATAATCACAATAATAATTATTATAATAATTATAATAATGCTAATAATAATACCAATACATTGGAATAGTATAATTATTATTATCTTGTTGTTTTTATGATTATTCTATAATTTTTTATCATTATTGTAATTAGTATCATAATTATTATTAGCATTAGTATCATAAGCAGTAGCAGTAGCAGTAGTAGTAGTATGTGTTATCATAACTATTACTGTTGTTGTACTTCGGTAAGACCAAATATCTGTGTCGCCCGTGTAGAGCGCCACCTTTGTTTCATAAATCTATCAGCGTAATGGTGTTCATAGAAACATTCGAAGAGACGGTGTTATATTCAATTAAATAATCTGCGTGAATGTCAGAACATTGGAAAAATAATTAGAAATACCACCCCGGGTAATCCAATCCGGATTTAGGACATATTTTGCATGTGTCAGATGGCCGTGAAGATTACATAATCGAAAGCGTGGTTCCATTTATAATTGTTACTCTTTGTGTCATCCAGAGCATCTATATAAGTTTAACAATTGTTGGGATTACCCTGCCAAGGTAATAGATAACTGTGAAGTGAAAACCTTTTCGGTCGCGGAGTAACAGCGCTCTATATACCGGTGATACACAAAGGAAGATCATGCGAATCGGAAGGAGACGTGGTAACCGAAGATGATCTTTCTGAAGTTACCTCAGAATTTGCGAATCCACCGAAAGCCCATTACCGGATACAAAAAGGCAGACAGCGGAAACGAAAATAAAATGCAAAGAAAAGCAATCAGAATTCTTAATGGAAATGAATGAAAACGACAGGCTTGAATAATTGCCAAGGCTCAATTATTAGGTCAAGAGTAAAATTGTTTGAAGAAAGCGGGGGGGGGGGGGGACCTAAATATTTTATATCATTAGAAAAGAGAAATTTTGATTGGAGTTCAATTTTAATTGCGTAATAACAAAAGTGAGATAGAGATTAGTTTGCGATCTGATTTATAGAAAATATTATTTGAACGTGTACAAAGATGTGGAATTAAAAGAGAGTGTTGGAAATGGGTCACCACTTTATATATAACAAATGTTGAAATGGATTTTTAACAGAAGAAATAAGCATTTCAAGGGGTGTGCGTCAGCCCCTTTCAGCACTTATGTGTTAACCTGCTTCAGATGTGTTTAGCTATTAAGATACGACGCGATCTGGAAATTAGAGGAGTTACACTTTTGAAACAGTTGAAATAAATATATCACAATTCGCTGATGACCCAGCAATATTTGCTCAAATGAATGACACACACAAAAGGCTATCAATCAAATAAAACATTACAGGCCATTTTCTGGCTTATATTTGAATAAATTAAAACGTTTCGTAGTAAAACATCACTGTGGTGGATGACTAGAGAAAATACAATGGTATTCCCTTGACCAATTCAGAAGTATTAGAGTTCACTTTGGAGAAAAAAAAAACAGAATTGAACAAATCATTAACTGGACTCCGATCATCTTAAAATAGAAAGTATGAGTCGTTCATGGAAGGCGAGACGTTTGAAATTACCTTGTAAAATATCTATTATTAAATAATTTCTTGTTTCTCAATCATATACAATGCTCAATTGATTGAAATGGCACAAAATGTAGTGACGCGTATTGATTCTCTATTGCTTCCCTTCCTGTTGAGTGGCAAACAATATATTAAAAGAAAGTTTGTTTGTATGCAATTAATACGAGTTTGGAAAGATGAAGAACGGTTGATTTGAACATTTTACTTCAAAGCTTACTGGTACTACTGAAGTGGGTTTTACATTATTTTTCTGATGAATGATGATTTAGAAATAATATATAGGATTCTGAATCACACATTCCCTTTCGATGATTGTAACATAACGGAAAAAGCATCCAACAACTGAACAACGACCTGCATGTCTATCAAATACGATTATCTCCTTCTTATTATTATGATCAGGGCCCCTAAACAATCTGTATTTATTCTTATCGGGGCAGCGCCAGGAGCGTCACAACGTGACGGACATGTGCGCTATATAAGAAGCCACCATTATTATTATTATTATTATTATTATAATCATTGTCTTCTTCTTCGTTTTCATTTGATCATTTCAGTAACGAGTTGGAGTAAGAAACCCGGGAAGACCACGCTACGTATGGCGGGCAATGATGGCATACCACGTGCTCGCATGAGAGCCTTTCGTCTCACCGCCGCCATCGTCGGCGGGTTCGTCATCTGCTGGTCGCCCTACTACGTCGTCTCGACCTGGTACCACGTCGATCATGGCTGGCAGGACGAGTCGGAACCACCTGACCCTCCGTGGCTGTTCGATGTCCTCATCGCTCTCGGGTACCTCAACACGTGTGTTGATCCAGTCCTATACGGCATCTTCACCACCAAGCTGGCTCGTGACGTCAGACACTGCTGGCGTACGTCTAAACCCGTCGCCAGAGGGAGACAGAGGTTGACGAGTCGACGTTCGACCTCCTCTTCAAACAACAATCCGGTGACGGTGGGGTCATCGGTTCGACTGGGAATGACCACGGTCAATGTTGTCAGCGAGGAGAGACAAGCGGTGCACTTTAGCATTCCGGACGAGGACGAGAGGACTGTTATCCCGTAAAAAAGGGGGAAAAGTCGTGAGTCGACGTTTTATTTTTTTGCTAGAAGCCACTTTGGTCTACGTAGTTCTATCTGGTTTAATATCCATCGTCTTGTGACCGACTGTTCCTTTTTATTTTACTACTGGACAAAGTACACCGATTTTTAAGACATGCCGCAACGCCTATACAAACTTTAACAATTGTTTAGAATTCTCAAAAATCAAAACACAATCGCCACTATTTTCGAAAAATCAGGTCAAGGGCAATTCTAACACCCTATTGTATGTCCCATAGAAATCATGTTTGGATCACCTAATACGTTATTGTTGAAAATCACTTATAAAGTATGCATTACCTACTGTTGTTTCTACATGTACGTACAACTGAGACGGGATTAGGTAATTATTTTAAAGAGAAAAGTTGAGTTCTGGGAAGAGGTGAAAAATAATTTGTGAGCTTTATCATTGTTATTATGCAAGTGTGGAAGAACATCAGATAAGACATGTTCCCTGAAAAGCATCGCTCTTCAAATGCCTTTATATTCTAAATATGTCATGTAACATCGTAAAAATCGAGGGTAGGATTTTTACGCCATGTGTTCGTATAGTCCCATATACATCTTTCTGTGTACAGTGTTTGTAAATTTCACAATGCAATCGCATGACCAGAACTCAACTTCATCTTTAAATGTATAATAGTGAATAACCGTGCTCTACCACACTTTTATACATACTATTATATTATTGAGTTGGATGTATGTGAGCACATCAAAAATATCACCAGTGAAGTGCAAAGGCTCGAAAGAATTGTAAAGGTTAATTCAAATCTAAATATACCCTGAATCTTTTTTTGAGAAAAAAAGGTAAATAATGAGAAATAACGAACACGGACCGTGTGTGCAAAACAAGGGAAGGAGATCGTGTACTGTATATTAACGTAGATGGCGCAATTGCTCTCAGTAGGACAGAAGACATCAATGAATTTAGAAGCTTAGACACCTTACTGAGTATGTAACTAGAATGTACATGTATTTTATCTCAATCCTTTGTCAGCCACATAAAAGTTCCCACTTACAAAAAAAAAATTGAACGTGTCGTCATAAATTTATAATTTCCTCATTTGCGTGTCAATGAGTTAACCTTTCGACAGGTTGAAAAACTGGGATGATTTGCTCTCAAATAAACACACTCGAACTCCGTCTCTTCCTCTTCTTCTTCATTCTCATATTTGCTTTTTTCTTCTTCTTCTTGTTTCTTCTTCTACCCGATTTTTACCTTTGCCAGGAATTACTTTACATAAGCTTTTAAAAATAAATCAAATAAAAACACTCGAAATGCGTCTCTTCCTCTTCTTCTTCATTTTCTTATTTTTCTTCTTCTTCTTCTTCTTCTTCTTTTTTGTCTACCCAATTTGAACCTTTGCCAGGAATTTTCTTTACATACAGCTTTCAAAAATAAATAATTGTGTGGGAAAACATGACTAGGTAGGCCCCTCCCTCTTGCTTTAAGGTTCAATGTACTATTACGTTTATCCACTTTGTTTTCTTCCTTGTACCCCTGTCACACCCCTATGGTGGCCCTGAAGGGACATCGCGAATATACGAAATCGCGAATTATTCACGACGGAATTGGCGACGTCGTGAATTTTATCGCCAATTATTCACGACGAAATTCACGAAATTCACGATATCGTCAATTTCGTCGTGAATTTTAACGCCAACTTTTCACGACGGAATTGACGACGTCGTGAATTTTATCGCCAATTATTCACGACGAAATTGACGATATCGTGAATTTCGTCGCCAATTTCATCGTGAATAATTCGCGATTTCGTCTATTCGCGATGTCCCTTCAGTGCCACCATACACCCCGCTATTCTGAACACAAATCGAACATCCTGTTCATTCGGGATGATTTAATGTTTCTGTCTGACCTGGTATCAATCAATCTAGTGTCGATATAGTTGCTGTGACTGGGTTATGTCAAGGACAGATATCAAGGATAATGTATTTATATAATATATTTATACATTATCTTGACATACATATTCAATGTAATGTCAATATTGATAGACATTACATGAGATATGTTTAACATGAAATATTGGAATCTGTCCAATGAACAGTATTTTAACTATGTACAGGGACTGATCCTGTTTTTTTTTTAAAGGGGGACGAACTTTTTCTCTCAGATCTTTGTTTCCAGGATAATGATTTAAAAGGGTCGGATCTATTGGCAATTTTTACCACTAAAATATACTTTCATAGTTTTTTTCTCCGTTCCGGTTTGCCCCTTCGACACCACCCCCCCCCCCCCTCCACGTTGTTAGCTTCGCTTGAAATTTACAGTGTTGACCTGTTATTCATTGTTACATAATATCACAGTCAAATACATTTTCAGCGATTCTGTGTTGACGTTTAATGTAATTTTCATTCTTTTCTGATAAAGTGAATGCTGAGGATTTATTCAAAAAAGGGAAATAGATAAAAAAAAAAAAAAAAAAAAAAAAATGAAAAGAAAAGAAGAACAAGCGAAATGTGAATTACGTTCGCTGGACTTAACTTACAGTATGCAAACAAAGATTGTGGAAGCCATACATCTTGTCGGTTGTAAATTGTGATTCACGTAGTAAATATGATGTAATAATATTTCTTATACAATGTAATTTTTTACAAATGCCGTAGCTTATCCGAAAGCAATGAGATTTTGGCAAGCACACTAAACCCCAACTCATTGCTTCGCCAAGTGAAGCATGTGATGAATGCGTCATAAGTGAAATAGTTTCGAAAACCATGTTGTATACTTTGGCCAATGAACTTGGAAAGGAGATCAGATATAGCTAAAAAGGACATGCAGGAAATCGAACGCACACACCTCGAAAGGAAAGCCTTGGAAAGCTAAGGCAGTTCTATTTTTAGATGAGACTCATAATGGAAAATTTTAACAAGAAATTGGAAAATATTTTGTATTTTCTACTGCATTTTAATGTGTGGGGCTACTTTCATTGGCGTTTGATATTTGGGCAACTAACCACCGGCCTGAAATATCAGCTTGGACAACCATCACGGAACAGGACCTTTTAAGACGACAACACCCGGACAATTACCCTAGACAACCATCACCTTAGGACAACTATACACAAGACAAACCTCGGATACTTGCCTGTCGACTGTGACCATAACGGCAAAGCGTCCGGACAACTATTCTCTATAGCTTGATTGACAGTTTCCCAACACACAAGGGAAATAATCGTTAGAAATTAATTCATGATATGGGATACTTGTTCATATTTTGGGGTTGATTATGTGAAAAACAATACGAAAGCAATCATCTTTGGAGTGAAACATGCCTGTAAGATGTATGTATGAAAACATAGGAGAGTGGAAATGTATGCAATTAACAACCAAACAAAACCAGAAAAATCCTCTATTTGAAAATTATTTTCTTTGGCAAATGATAATGAAACATCTCAAATATACGAGAGAATAAAACATCGATATTCAGGGAAAGAATCGCTGCGGGGGACCATAAACCAACAAAATGTATACATATTTCAGTGAAAGAATTGTATAATTCATAATTTTATGGTTGAAATGTTTTATTCAGCCTGCAATAATTCAGGCTGTAATATGATATTTATGTAAATACTAAAACGAACTCGGTCAAACAGAGTCATAAGTACATAAAAAGTTCAGGGGGGAGGAGTGGAAATACATTTATATCAAGTTGATGATCATTTACTTCACCAGTAGATCAGACTTGTAATCTAATGTACATCATGTAACATACAAATATTATATTTGATCGTATCTATTGTACATTTCAGAGCATGCATGTAGCATATCAATATTAAAAGTGTCATATCAAACGTATATTAATGGCTTTCTTCCTTGTTCCCCCCCCCAATATGTTTGTCTTGATTATGAATGTGTTGTGTCGCGTTGAATATTATGAGTGACGATGGACTCTATAAACAAAAATGGCTTGAGTTGGGGTTGAGTTAGATCGGGAAAAGAAAAGTCGAAAGAATGTTCATGGATAGATAATTTACATTTTGTTTAGTCACTGACTACTGGACAGGTTATTTTGACATTAAACCTATGAGGAATATACTAATTTAGTAGTTAACAAGTTAATACCACCCATTACATTGATTAATCAATTTATTCTTAAATTCATTATTCTAGCCCGCGTTTAAAAACAAGTAAACTTCTGAGAAGCTTTGCAGTCCAGTTTTGCTTTCCAAGCATAGCTATTAATTTATAGCTTAATGTAATTATCCTGATTGTTAGTAGGTAAAGACCAACAGGTCACTGCAATTTGCATGATGTTAAGTCGAACCTTTTCGCCCATTCGGAGCAACATGGGCGCTCAACTGTTAGAGATAACGCCATGGTAACTCAATAGTGCAAAACTAATAATGTTTTCGTGAACTAGAATACTGCCTGTCATGTACAAGACTGTTACAGAGGAATTGAATAGAATGAAAGAAGGAATGAGAGAGGAACATGGGAAGAGAGACAGAAAGGGAGAGGAAGAGTGGATGAGAGAGAAGAAGGCGAGAGAGAGAGAGAGAGGGAGAGGGACAGAGAAGAGGGCGAGAGAGAGAGAGAGAGAGAGAGAGAAGAGGGCGAGAGAGAGAGAGAGAGAGAAGAGGGCGAGAGAGAGAGAGAGAGAGAGAGAGAGAGAGAGAGGGGGGTGGGGAGAAGAATATAGAGAGTGAGAGGAGAGACATAAAGAAAGGGATAGAGAGAAAGACAGAGAGAGAGAGAGAAGTATATCATTTTGTTATATGAAGAGATATTGACAGAGGCGGAGAAAGAGAGGGGGAAGGGAGAGAGGGGGAAGGGAGAGAGGGGGAAGGGAGAGAGGGAGAGAGAGAGAGAGAGAGAGAGAGAGAGAGAGAGAGAGAGAGAGAGAGAGAGAGAAAGAGCGAAGGGAAGTATAGTGCGATGCATTTCTTTGATTGCATTATTGAGGCAGGAAAAAGGAAGTATTTTCTCAAGGGGAGGGCACCAGCACACGTACACCCAAAAGAGTATGAAAGAAAGTAGGCATATTATTGTCTACAGTGGGTGGATGCAATCCTGATGAATTTGTGCACAAAATTAAGTTTATGAACCAAGCTGTGTCAAAATAAAAAGAGTGTGACACATGGAAAACAATGATCCGTCAGGAAAGGTCCAACATTCTTTGTTGAAAACTGAAGAAAGTTAGGGGAAGGGGAACACCGCCCTCTTGAGATGTGGTTCCCAAGAGAACCCTTATTAAAATTAACTTTTCATTAGGAGATAGTGAGAGTAAGACCGAATGAAGGGAACCAATAGGGGCAGTGCAAATTTCAAAAGGATGGATTAGAGTTTCGCTCGTTCAAGACAACAACAAAAATCTTGGATCCACCGCTGCGAGATGCTCGAATATCGTCGTGATTTAGGGCA